CCTAAGGACCAGTCATTACAACCACATCAGAAGGCCCCCCCCCCCTCCTTTTTTGAAAACACGTATTTCCATGACCAAGCATTTGAGGCCTTCTTCTCCCAAGTTTACTTCGGTCTACTCCGCTGCCTGATTAGATGTTTAGACCTTAAAAAGTGTTTGTTAGTGATATAGAAAAAGAAGCTTCCTGAAAGAAGTCTACCAAAGCGGACACAGGTTGTGCCCTAGAATTATTCGTGTTTCTTAATAGTACCGCGTAATAGCCCCTGTTCACTAGCAGAGTATCGCGCGCTTGGATGCATGGCAATCCAATAACAGTAGTACACGCAGTGCACGCTTATCTGACCAATCAGAGCATGCGCTTTACTCCGATAACTCTTAAAAAGTTTTGGGTGTTACGTGCACCTCAGCCACAGTTTTTTCCATTAGGCAAAGTTTCTTTCATAAACTTGGCCTTTCAAGTAATAACGAAATTGAAAATTTTCGTGTTAATATTTGCTCGTGCTTTTAACAAAGATGAGCAACCAATCGCAACCGACAACCGAAATGTTAAGCTTAACCAGCTGGTCATGGTCACGTATACGGATGGCGCTGATACGATCGATATTAAACACGTACGCTATAAGCGACAAGATCACGCGCGATGTGTGCAGTCTTGCTTACCAAGAAGATTGCATCTTTTCGTTCAGATTGGATCTAGAAAGAGGGAATGTGGTGATCCACGAACAACGCAGAGTGTAAACTCTAGTGCAAACAGTCTCAGAATACATTTGTTGAGAGCCGATTTTGAGACCATTTTTCATGATATGTCTTCTCACATCGTTGTAAGACTTAAGAGCCTGAAAAAAAAGTTAAATTTGACATTTTCCTTTGCCTCATAACAGAAGTCAAAGAAAAAATTTCCCGCCGAATTCATTATTATCATTTTTATAAAACCTTGAGAAATAAATAGTACTATGCAAATGTTCTGCAAAATAAGTTTCATTTGAATGGCAACACCTCAGGTTTTTAAGTCCAGAGATATAAAATTAAAAGGGCCAATGTCACATCAATCGCAGCCTTGGAGTGATAGGAGTAAATTCACTTTACTTTTTCTCGACATCTTCTGAACATTTTCGAGCCACTTCACCCGCTCCCTCACTTTGTTGAAAGCACGCAAGCGCAGTAGCGCGTCTAGGTCCCAGTAACGTTTTCGCTCGTGATGCATGTTTACAACATAATGAATGGTGAGCAGAAAAAAAAACCGTTTGTGCTCAGCTGTGTGCTGCTTGACCCTTGCAGTAAGATTAGCCTTAGGATACAGTAACAAATTATCAAATCATGATCTGATGTCAGGGTGCGTCGTATGGCTCTATGCAGTGGAACCGATATCCAACGACAGCAGCGTAAAATAAAGATGAATTTCCAGCTAAGAACCGTTTCAGCTGAAAGGGCTTACTATTAATTTCAGCTTCCTTCGATTTGTGACATGCATCTTGCGCACGCTACGATTCAGTCGGTACGCGCTTCAGTTTAAGGTTTAATGGCAATTGCTGAGTGCAAAGCGGGTTCTTCTTGTTCTGAAACTGAAGAAGGGTCATACACTCCGAGCGCATGTTTCTTTACAGACATCTATAAAGCACTTTGATAGTTAATAATGTTATAATGTCATGCTAAAAGCTATGTTTACACCATCACGGATAGTTAGATGACGATCTACTTTCATGGTCTGCGCGGCGACAGAGCGTTCCCTTTGGTCCTCACTAGCGACGCAAGCATACAAGAATGAGCGCATAAGTGAGGACGGCCTTGACATGAGTGGCAGAGAAAACTATCCTATATGCGACGATTTGACACGGCGCAGCTTAACTCCGAAAACACCGCTCTTGTGAGAAGAACGAAGCCCTATCCCGTATAGTCTCCGTGCCAGCGTAATAGATATCCGGTATAGTGTGAACATAGTCTGAGATAGTTCGATACAATTTAAAGTCGTTTCGATACAAGTTTATTCAGTTTAGGTGTAAATAGTTCCACGTACTCGGCTTAAAGAACGAAGACTATTCACCCAAAATATTTTTCATGTTGACCCGCAAACTATATACTTGAAGTGATCGAAAGTTTTGTGCAATATCACTGCTTGAGTTCGTAACGAAACGACTTGTATCGAAACGACTTGGTATCGAAACGACCGAACTTCGTCCACACTGCGTCAGAGTGGTACAGAAACCTATTCGATAGGTGATGATCTTGCACGGCGCAGCGTCGCTCCCAAATCACCGTTGTTATATGTGAACACAAGACCTATCCGATATGGTTTCCGTGCTGGCGCAAGAACTATCCGGTTTTGTAGACATGACTTGAGATAGTTTGAGTAGATATTAAAGCGCGAAGATGCTTTCAGGCAAAACATCAAACGCCACCTCTCCCCCATGCGCACGAGGTTGTTCACCTCTTTCTATCGTTCCTGTAAGGGCCGAGTCTTTTGATGCCGTTTGGAAGCATTACGAGTTCGTCGGCAGTCAATTGTTAAGACAAATCGGAAACCGTGAAATTCTGTGTTTTCTTTCAAAACCACGCGAATCCGTTACGTTTAACTCTAAATATTCTTTGATAACAAGAGCAAATACGGTAATAAACAAAGAAACAAACTTGTTTAAAAATGTTTTCCGTGACTTAAATTAGTAAAACATTTCTTTTAACATCACTTAGAATGATGATAAAAGTAGCGCGCTGAAGAAATATTCTTTGAAGACAGCGACTCAACGAATGACAACCACAATTTTATGACGGCACAAAGGCTAATTGTGTGAGTTGATTATTTCGAACCCTCAATGAATAGATAGCATGCCTCCGGGGATCACTTAATTCGCAGTAATAAAACATACGTGTCTTATTGTTTTGCCGTGCGTAATATTCCTTTCTCGAATACTCTGCGTCTGTAGGGACCGCCATTAAACGCGAAATCAATTTCAAGCACGTGCCTGGTAGGTGGACCATAGACCGCGTTAAGTGAAATAAAGCGCAGCGGATCCAGTAAAGTAGCGCGATTTTTCCGACGCTTCCGAGAGTGCTTTCAGTTAATGAAAATATTTTACTCTGTTGAGAAAACTTTTAAATAACAAAGTGGAAGAATTCGTGTCATTTTTTGAGCGTTGCAGTTCATTATAAAGACAGGAAATCGTGTAAAGCCTTTTAGACCTTCGATTTTACTTCGATTAGAGAAAAATTCTATATTGCAGTGCCAAGACAGGTTTCTACTTGTCTCTTTTTATTAGCTCTAATCCTTACGAAAGAGTAATGAGTTTCATGGTAGAGATTAGACCGTCTTTCACTTCTTAACTTTATCGCATGAACGTTATAACAACAAAGCGAAATACAAAACAAACAGAATAACACCTTTCGTAAAGTTTTGGGACGCGAGTGGATCAATATAGAGCTTTGTATGTTCCGTAGAAACATAAAAACGAAGCAAGGACAGAAAAAGTTGTACGACGCACGTTGTTTGAGACCACAACCCTCTGCAAACCACCTTGAAAAAGCCGTTTCCGAGGAGAGCTAATTGAGTGAAAAATTCACGCGCTGAGGCGGTTTCTGTTGTGTTTATTGAAGTCCAGTGACACAGCTAATTTTCCTCTTATTCCTATTCAAGTCTTAATCACTTCATTTGTATGGAGCTATTGATTGCAAATTGCTCTTTTCGCTGTTTCTTAATTTAGAGCTTTTGAAAAGACCCTGACGAAGGCAAAGCCGTATAAATTGATTCCTTTGAAAAGCGAAGTGTTTATATCAGAAGATAAGTGGGTATGTTTCACGCCTATCAAAAAACTCGAATTAGGGAACATTGTTAAAATGTGAAAGCAATACCTTTCTTGTGCACCAAGGAAAGAGTGAACCCTTCCATAGGAGAGTCACGTAATTTTCGCATTGTCCACAATTTCTTTTAAAGTATTCCAAATTAATTAAAAGAAGGGCAATCAAAGAGAATTTTTAAATACCGAGTGCGGTCACGGGAGAAAACTACCAATGCGAATGAAACGCAGAGCGAGGATAAAGGAAACACGAGTCTTTAAAGTAAAAAGTACACATTTTGATAGCATATTTACCAGCAAGCTGTTTCATTTAAGGTTCACTGTCTTAGGGATTAAACTTGTTGTAGCAATTTCACCGGCTCTCTGTGTGGGCGGGTTCTTACCTTCCCCAGGTATGAACGCAGGATTTGAACTAATTAGAAACTCTTGGATAACCGGGTTTTCTTTATGTTTGCCGCTCAAAATGTATGCAGACATGTAGACTGCAAACAAAACTGGTTAAGATTTTAGTGATCCTTGTTATGTTGCTGTTTAATCCATTGTTTTGTATTACGGCAATAAATACATGCATGCCGATTTATGAACGCGAATTAAGATTCTTCGGTTATTACACAACTGTATACACACTAGTGAACAAGGTTGTTAGACGCTCAAGATGAACACTTACAAAGCTCTTTACACGATAGCGCTGTTTGGTTTGACAAGTCTTAATGTACTTGCAGAGGGGAACGGAGCTTGGTGGTGAGTCAATATCTATACTTCCTGCTCTTAATAATTTTGTTAGTCTAGCAAAGATTCACGAATCATTTTAAAAATTCTTGACGTTCATTGCTGTTAACTATCCACCAATAGCTAGCACCATACAAAAGTACTGCTGAGGAGGTTTCATTTGAATCGTCGCACTACAGGTTTTCATCCACAGAAACAAAGGTTAGAAACACCTTATAAACAGTACCACAGGGAAGTACTGCTCTTTAGCTTTCACTTGAATGGTCACACCATAGAATTTCATCCACAGGCTCAGAAGAATAAACCATCTTCTACAGCATAACAGTAATGAGTTACCACAGGAAAGTACTGTTCTGTAGCTTTCACTATAGGATAGGATTTCGCCGGCAGCCTGAAAAGTTTGAAATAATTGGGTGTCCATAATTAACTGTACCATGCACTGAACGAGTCAAGGAACACGAGCTTTAATTTATTTTTTTAATCTACAGGAACCTCGGGGTTAGCGGCTCTTCAAAGTTACCAGACAACTATAACTTCCAACTTTCCCCTGCGAATGGGGTCAAGCCTGTTACCCCCAAACAGCAACGGCTGTGCCGAAAATACCCCGAGCTCATTCCGTACATCGGCGAAGGTGCAAGAGAGTCTATCACGCAGTGTCAGCTCCAGTTTAAAAATAGAAAGTGGAACTGCTCTGCTCATAGTCCGGAAAATGTCTTTGGAAAAATTCTGAAAATAGGTAAGACGAAATCATCTGTATCAGATATTTTTAAATCGAAATCGGTGCGCGATAAGTTACGTCAACTTTAGCTTGGTTTTCTATCTATGTTTTTAGAACATTCTCGTAAAAGAGAACACATCTCCTTAACTCTTCTCTTAAAAAAAATATTTCTATGCATGTGTATTTAAAACTAAAGCTTACGGGCGAAGGCCAGAGGGTAAGTTAAATTTACTTTTGTATAGATCTGATTTTATGGAAACACTCAAGAAGTGGAGAAGATTATAACGAACCCCATAGGAAATAATAAAACGCAGTAACGTGATGTTTCATACGCTAGCAAATTCTTTATACAGAACGTAAGCTTAAAAAGACGACGAACGTTTGCTCTCGCCCACAGTAAAGTAAACAAGACAAAAACCAGGCTTGGGCTAGCCTGTGAATTTAGAAAGAAACCCACGCGAAAAGAAATATTCTTGTATGACACAGCATTCTGTTATCATTGACATATATGTAGTTATTTATGGACACGCAACATTTGCGAAATTTTCGTCAAGTGAACGCTAATTCCAACGGTATTTAGTTATGGATGAAATGGTTCATTGTTGAACATACAAAGAAAAGTGAGAGGACAGAAGTTGACGGGAAGGATTCTTGAGGAATAGGCTAAAGACAAACCCGGTCAAATAAACGCCATTATTTTTAGGGGTTATTTTTACCCTGAGATTGATCAAGGTAAAATTACTTAAGGAAATTGTAATCAAGTAATAAGGTCAAAAATGATTTTCTTAATAACTTTTTCATCACCATTATTAATAAATAAACTTCAAAGGCTCGTCTCACTTCCAAGCAAAGGAGGGAGTACAACAAATGCGATGCGAGAATAAACGGTCAAATACTGTAATGTACTTTTTTCGCTATTCCTGTAGTACTTCTTCAATGAAACAACTTACTCTATTTGCATGACGACTAAGACTATTTTCAACATTTTTAGTTCTACTGTTTTGTCTCAAAAGCCAGAACCACGAAGCCACAAATTCAATGAAGTGCTATCTACTTCAGTTATTACTGACTTATAATTTAAGTTATTGAATTTCTTGTTCATTTGATTCGTCCAGAAGAGTCTTTTTCATAAATCTTAGTTCTATGTTCTATGTTCTGTCCTAAAAGCTTTGCTAAGGAAAGTACAGACTTGATGAACCGCAATTCACTTCACTTAGTATTTCAGATTCAATGTTTTGGACTATAAACTGCTCGTTCTAATTGATTCTCAGGCGGATTAAGTTAAATTGAGTAGTTCTATATTCCGTTTAGACAGTATTGGTTAAAAATCCACAAGTTTGATGACATAACTCATATAACTCACTTCATTGCAATTACAGATTCTATTTCAGTAGTGGGATCACTTGTCATTCTATTTGATTCATAAAACGTTGCTTTCAATTCACCAGTTTCATTGATTTTACTCAGTATTTCAGTTAAAATTGCGTCTCAGCAGCTTCAGCTACAAACTCACACATCTTATGAACTCCTGTTAACCACTTCATCCGATATTCCTTCGTACTTCTTTTTTGGCTAAACAACTCCAGTTTTTATTGATTCCTTAGAACTATTCGATCACTGTAAATTCTATAATTCATAATTATAGTGTTGTCTCTCAAATTTGTTCACAACCCACGACTTGAAGAACTCTAAATAACCCATGTCATTTGCGACCCCTCCTTACATCCCAAACCACTCTTTCTCTTTTTTCTGATCGTTCCTGAAAACTATCTTATCGCTAGTTGTTACTTCGTTTTTTGACTCAGGTAACTATAAAATGAGGGAATGTTTTCAAAATAATCATTTGGTCCGCCAATTTATTGCACTCTTTCGCGGGAGCTCGTAGCGAAGTGAAACTGCCCAGATTCACTCCATCATTCTGTGATTTTTCATTTCGGATTCTAAGAAAGACTTACGCTTTGTTCACACGATACAGGATAGTTTTTCGCGTTGCCAACACGTAAAGCTGTCCAGAATAGTATAGTATAAACACCTATCCGATATGTGACTCTCCACTTTAGAGATCCCGTGCGCGCGGCTCAGCCTCGCTCCGTCACAGAAATCGCTTCGAAAGCACCGTTCTCATGTGTAAACAGAAGCCCTATCCGATTTGATATTAGTGCCAGCGCAAAAGCTATCCAGTATAATCAGTCTTCTTAGCATCATATTGACGTTGATCATTTGGAGCCATCTGTGCTATGGTGTCAATGAATTCAGAAAATTTACTAATCAAAGCGAAGTTCCTTAAGTGATTATTCTTCTAATTTCCCATCATTATTTTGGCTGAGTTTCCATCAGGCTCTGCTGTAGGCCTGACGCACGCCTTACACTTGACTTGGCACCTCAAGCCTGACTCGCTGTGCACGCATTTCAAACCTTAAACCTATCAAACCTTCAAGATTTAACACTCCTAAAGGTAGCCAAAGTCAAAATTCACTATGATTTTTTACTTTGTGAAATGATAAAAACAAATTGTGCCTTATGAAAATGCTGTTCAAGAGAATTCATTTGAATGGTAACACTATAGGATTTCTCCCACAGATGCAAAAGTTAGAGCCACCTAGTACAACAAAATAAACAGCACCACAGGAAAGAACTGCTCGGTAACTGTCCGGCGTTTGAATGGTCACACTATAGGATACTCAAAAGTTAGAACTACCTTAAAGTTTTAAAGCATTTATAAACAGTACCAAAGTACTATACTCACTAGCTTTTATTTGAATGATCACTCCAAAACACAGACTCAAAAGTTACAACCGCTCTACAAGCCAGAGTCTCCATCATTCACTCTTGGAATGAAAAGGTTAAACGCACCTCAGTCTTATTTATGCGCATGGTTCTGTTAAAGCTTGCAGGGAAACAGCTTTTGCCTACTCGATAACAGCAGCAGGAGTGTCGCATGCTATAGCGAGAGCTTGTAGCGAAGGAAAACTATCGTCCTGCGGATGTGACAAAAGATACAGAGGAGTCAGCAACGCAGGATGGCAGTGGGGAGGATGTAGTGACAACATTCATTTTGCGGATCAGTTTTCTAGGAAATTTGTCGACGCTGGTGAAAAGGGCCGAGATTTTCGCACAGTGGTGAATTTGCACAACAACGAAGCTGGAAGAACGGTGAGTGTGTCTGAAGGTTACATTTTTACAAGCTACAAGAGCAGAAAAGAATAAACTGGCTTCGTCCCCAGGCTTAGTCTCTCTACTATCAAAATACAAATTTTTCCTCTTCATTTTGGTTTCGAAAAGTTAGAACCACTTAACAAGACTTAATCATTCCTTCTGGGAGTAAAAGATTTCATAGCTGATCAAGAATTACATTCCCATTACTATGCCACTATTATTCTGCAGTGTACAAGGTGGCTAGACAGTTAAACTATCTCGAGTACGCGGCGGTATGGCCAATGCTTAGCTTACTTTTAGTTTACTCTTATAATCATTGACGCTGTTTATTCTGCAAAGAAAAATTTCTAACTTTTGCATCTCGTTTAGTAAAATTTAGTTTACCATTCAGATAAACTTGCAGTATTAAGCAGCTTATGAGACAAGGAGGGTCTTTCTGCCGTTATTAGTATCTTTTTAAGTAAAATAATTAGGGAACGGAAATCGAAGATTTCCATCACTACTGGAATTGGGATTACACGCGGTAAAGAAACTGACTAGGTCACCCGGAGTAGCCTCGGGCGTATTTTTTTTTTCTTCAGCCACAATTATGAAGAATTACTTCCGACCGACCAAAAAACCGTCATAAAAGTAATTTTAATGCGTCAAAGCGGCCGTCTGCGCGCAATTGTAGTGGTAAGAAAAATTTCATCATCAGCTACGTGACTCAGTTTCACAGGTATTTTACGCGACTTGGACTCAACGAACTTAATAGAAAGAAATGACGGCTAATTGTTAGCGTATATTTTGCTGATCAATAAACTTTAAGTTTGTAAACTGCTCAACCAAGAAGATAGAACTTGAACTTGTTGCGACTTCATCCATACGTTCTAACAAATTATAAGATTATTGCTTAATACTTCAATCATAAGATTCTCCTTTCGAAACTGACACAAAAAGATTATTACACAATCACGTGTGGCAACCGCTTTTTAAGAGTCTTCTTAAGTATATTGCAAAAAAAAAAAATTGTGAGTAGAATATTAATCCTACTATTCCCGTCTGTGGCGGCATTCTTTTGACAAACTGTTTCAATTTTATGAATAACAACAATAAAACGTTTTTCCTTGTAATAGCCGAAATTTGTGGTAAACGGTCACAAGGCGGTTTCCCACGAAGCTACTTATTCTAACTGTGGCAAATTTGGGTGTACAGTCATTGTTAGTATTAAAAATAAAACCGCGGCTTTGCTGTTGTGATTAATTTCAATTTCATGGCTCATCAATCTTGACTTTCTTTCTCATTGTCTGAGTCATCTCGTTTAAACTTTCCACTGCCATAGCCAATTATAGAGACGTGACGAAGTTGCAAGTTTAATTTGGAGACTGCGAAGGCAAAAATGGAAATTTCAAGCCAAGGAAACGTAGATTTCTCATTGTCTGAGTCATCTCGTTTAAACTTTCCACTGCCATAGCCAATTATAGAGACGTGACGAAGTTGCAAGTTTAATTTGGAGACTGCGAAGGCAAAAATGGAAATTTCAAGCCAAGGAAACGTAGAACTGCCCGCGAGAAAACAAAAAAAAGCCTCTTTTGCCCTCATGTTACACCATCTTATCCGCAGGGCAAAAGGATAATTTATATACACAATTATGATTAAATTCTACCTATCGCATTTATATATACGGTCGTTTCGATACAAGTGGTTTGGATACAAATATTCACCCAAAATGTTTTTCACGTACATACCGTATTTAAAAAGGGGGCGATTATTTGAAGGAGGCGATCATTTTAGATATCGTTCACTGGAGGTCGTGCCCTAAATATTTTGTTCTATTTTCCCATTAAATCAAAAAATAATCACATCAAAGAAACGGAACATGGGCTTTTTAGTGTTCCAAATTGGGTTCCTTGATTAATTTCCATTGTCAATATCCTGGGCGTCGTCACTGATCAGCTTTGCTGGATCAAACTCTACTTCAGTTTCATCCTCCAGATTTACCGCTATTGGTGTCGATAGCGGGTTACCTATGGTAGTGGGAGGGCGACTATTCGAGGGAGGCGATTATTTTAAATATTTTCGTCAAAGGCAGGCGATTATTCGAGGGAGGCGATTAATCGAGGGACGGCTATCATTCGATGAAATACGGTACTTGAAGTGATCGAAATTTTTGTGCAGTATCACTGGGCGAGTTCGTATCAAAACGACCAAACGCCTGTAGCACAAGTCTGAGATGAGGAGTAGTCTTTCTTGAGAAGACTCCCTGTACCGATCAAAGGATGATAATTTGACTCTATTGTCGGTGTTCAAACGAAAACATCAAATTCTAAAATTTAAAATCGAAGGGCCTTTTAAAGTTTCACGTACTCATCAGACAACGTAATGGGGCTTTCCGATTTAAAAGTAGAGCAATTTTTAATTGCCTGATGTTCACGCCTCGCGACATAAAAACGGCGCTCGAGAGAGCTGTCGAACGCACAAAATGGAGACTTAGACAATATTTAAATACCCTGACACCGCAAAATCTCAGCTTGGCTACAGACATCCATTGGCTTTGATAGTAGTTTTTGATAGCCAAACAATGAAAGTTTCAAAGAGTAGTTTGCCTTTACTGACACGAAATTGCTTCTCTTTTTTTTAAGTCGGTGAGACAGAACATGGTACGGGAGTGTAAATGTCACGGCGTATCGGAGGCTTGCACTGTACAGACCTGCTGGAAACGCTTACCGAATTTCAGACGCATCGGAGACGTGCTCAAAGAGAAATTCGACAGCGCGTCAATGGTGGAATTTGAGCAAAACAACAACCGCAACGGTCATAGCTCTCGAAAAGGAAAACCTGCATTCCGTCCAAAAAACAAACTGCACAAGGCACCCACAATTGCTGACTTGGTCTACTATGAAGACTCTCCAGACTTTTGTCGTCGCAATCCCGAAACGGGTTCTCTCGGGACGAAAGGACGACTGTGTAACAACACGTCCGAGGGGACAGACGGGTGTAATTTGATGTGCTGTTACAGAGGGTATACAACAAGTGAGAGTGAAATGGAAGAAATGTGTAACTGTCGCTTTCATTGGTGTTGTAAGGTAAAATGTGAAAACTGCCGATCGAGACAAATCATCCATAGGTGTAACTAATGGTGAAGAGAAAATTAATACAAAGGAAACACTTGTTAAAGGGAACATAGTCAGATGACGCACATGCGCATTAGATTCCATTTCTTAGCTGATTTGCAGATCACAAGATACGCGATTCATACTGTTTTTAACCAAATCAGATAAAATAATATTAGAGGATGAGTAAAGGAATACGCAGGAACAGGTTTTCAGTAAAAGATCGAAGATCGAATGAAACATTGGGCAAGATTAAAGATCTATCCCAAGGGTAACTTTGATTTTGGTTTAAGGTAAACACTTTTTAAAGTGGCAAAACTATAGTTTCGAACTCAACGTGGTCCCAAGGCTGACCGTGTCCCTTTAAGGGAAGAGAATAGCGCGGTTTTGCAGAATTGAAAAGTAACATTTACTGACTTCAATAGTCTATTTTGGGACTGGTGTGAATAGATTGTTTAGAGTTATATGATGAAGATTCATTTGGACTATTAGGACGTAACAATAAATTTAGCAAATATGCAAAGTCGTTAAAAAATCTGGACGTCATTCTTTTCCACTGTGATTCATCAGCACCTATATTCTGAGTCGAAAGCTATACATTGGTGCGGCCGTCGATTGCTTTATTGCTTAATTTATTGTTATGCTTTAGAATTATTGTAGACTTTTTCCCTTTATTTGTAGCAATACCTTACCTTTTAAATTTGGGGTTCTTTTACATTAGCTTTGAATAAGATGTGAATAGATTGTTTTCAAATTAATGTTAGATTTTTCCAACCTACTCTTTGCAGTGGCGGCTCTAAAATATTTCTATATAATAGGATTCTGTGAATATGGTCATCTTTTGTAGTAACACTGTTCAGTTTTATGAACTTTGGATATAGATAGGACAAAATTTTAACAAGTTTAGTGTAAAATGTAACCTCATATACGGTAGAGATCAAAAAGTGTCTTAAGCTTATCTGTCGGCTAGATGTAGATATACATACAATAAATAGAAAATTATTTCGAACTCATATTTCT